AGCAACAGCAGCAACAGCAGCAGCAGCAGCAGCAGCAGAAACAGCAGTGATACCACAAGAATATGCCGCTGCAGCAATACACATAAGAATAAATATATATATATCTACATATAAAACAAAAAACTCTATACTATGCAATAAAATTATCAGCAGTTTGCTGCTGCTGCTGCTGCTGCTGTGCGCAACCTGCTGCGGCTGCTGCTGAGGTGTACGGGCAGCTCGCCGCCCTGCTGCTGCTGCTCCTGCTGCTGCTGCAGCAGCAAATCCATCAGTAAAAAGCAATTTATATTGACAGACATTTCTTAAGTTTTTTAATTTTTATATTTTAATTTGTTGCTGCAACAAAAACGCAACAACTGCAGCAGCAGAAGCAGCAGCAGCAGCACCTGCTGCTGCTGCTGCCGGTGCTGCTGCTGCTGCTGCTGCTGCTGCTGCTGCAGTGTTTTTATTTACAAGGGCTATCAATTAATTCTCCTGAAACTCGGCTCAATTATTTGTGTAGACAGCATTCTGAGCCTCTAAACCCTAAACCCTAAACCCTAAACCCTAATTTCTAAACCCTAAGCCCTAAACCCTAGGGTGCTGGGGTGCAGAACAACACAATCCCACCGCACCACCCTCCTCCCTCTGATGTCTGTCTGTCTGTCTAGCTAATTAGCTAGCTGTTTAGCTAGCTAGACAGCTAGCTAAATAAAAAGATAGTTTGAAATGTAGATATATAGATAGATAAAGAGCTATACATATATATACATATACATATATATTATATATATGTGTGTGTGTAGATAGATATATAGATAAATAGATATATAGACAGCTAGTTATCTAGCTATATAGGTATCTAGCTAGCTAGATAGCTAGCTAGACGATTAGCTAGCTACATAGATATATAGCTAGATAGATAAGCATACATAAGGATAAATATATTTATAAATATGCAGGCTGATAGATTGACAGATATCTATCTATCTATCTATCTATCTATCGAGCTAGCTAGCTAGGTAGCTAGCTAGCTGAGGTAGCTAGCTAGCTGAGGTAGCTAGCTAGCTAGCTAACTACCATTTGCTGCACACTGAGTACAGGAAGAGTCTTTTATTACCGACTAAACCGCCAAGGGTTTAGGGTTTAGGGTTTAGGGTTTAGGGTTTAGGGTTTGGGAGCAGAGGAAGCGTGCAACGAAGTTCCCGCTGCTGCTGCTGCTGCGGTTGCTGCTGTTGCTCTCGCTGTTGCGGCTGCTGTTGCTGCTGCTGCTGCTGCTGTTGCTGCTGCTGTTGCTGCTGCTGTTGCTGCTGCTGCTGCCTCGTTTAGAAGAAGAGTTTGTGTTTGTTGATTGCTGGGTATTGGAGGCAAATTAAAAGAAAAACAAATAGAAACGAAAACCCTAAACCCTAAAACCCTAAACCCTAAACCCTAAAACCCTAAACCCCTAAAACCCTAAACCCTAAAGGAGTTTTTTATGTTTTGTTTTTGTTTTTTTGTGTTTATTTTTGTTTATTTTGTTTGGCGTTTGTTTAAAACAAATTAATTTTAACAGCGATATATTTAAATATAAAATATACATCTATATATATATATATAGATATATAGATATACAGATATATATATATATATATACTTTCATATAAATATATATATATATATGTATATTTATATCTACATACATATGTTTATATCTAACTATCTATATATATGTTTATATCTATCTATGTATCTATATCTATATCTATATCTATATATATATATATATATATATGTTTATATGTAAATATAGCTGTTTAGGTATATATGTTATATATATATATATATAAACATATACATATATATATATATATAAACATATATATAGATATAAATATAGATATAGATTTATGTATATATAACATAGAATATAAATATTACACATAGATATATATATTATTGTATGTAAACATATACACATACATGTGTATATACATACGTACATATATATATATATATATGTATATATATATACTATGTTTTATACTTATATATATATATATACATATATATATATATATATATATATATATATATATATATATATATATA